AACAGAAAGTACGTACAAATGGTATCTGTGGTTTAACAGAAAGTAGATATAAATGGCATTTTTTAACAGAAAGTACGTACAAATGGTATCTGTGGTTTAACAGAAAGTAGATATAAATGGTATCTGGGATTTAAAGAAAAGTAGGTGTAAATTCTATCTCTGTTTTAATAAAACGTAGGTATCAATGATATCTGTTTTTTATTAGAACTTAGGTATAAATGGTATCTGTGCTTTAAAGAAAATTAGGTATAAATGATATATATTTTTTAACAAGACGTAGATATAAATGGTATCTGTGGTTGAACAGAACGTAAGTATAAATGGCATTTCTTGTTTAACAGAAAGTAGATATAAATAGTATCTCTTCTTTAACAGAAAGTATTTATAAATGGTATCTGTTCTTTAATAGTAAGTAGGTATAATGGGTATCTGTGGTTTAAAGAAAGTATGTATAAATGGTATCTGTCATTTAACGAAAAGTAGGTATAAATGGTAACTGTGGTTAATAGGAAAGTAGGTATAAATTGTATGTGTTTTTTAACAGATCATAGGTATCAATGTTATCTGTGGTTAAACAGAACGTAGGTAGAAATGGTATCTGTGATTTAAAGAAAGGTAGGTGTAAATTCTATCTCTGTTTGAAAAGAACGTAGGTATCAATGATATCTGTTTTTCATCAGAACATAGGTATAAATGATATGTGTTGTTTATCAGAAGGTAGGTTTAAATGCTGTCTGGGGTTTAACGGAAAGTAGATATAAATGGTATCTGTTGTTTAGCATAAAGTAGGCATAAATTGCATTTCTTGATTAAAGAAACGTTGGTGTAAATGGTATCTGGGGTTTAACGGAAAGTAGATATAAATGGTATTTTTTTTAAAGTAGGTATAAATGTCATCTCCTGTTTAATAGAACCTAGGTGTAAATGGTATTTGTGGTTTTTACGGATAGTAGGTATAAATGGTATCTGTTTTTTTAATATAACGTAGTTATAACTGGTATGTGTTGTTTAACAGAAAATAGGTATTAAATGTATCTGTGGTTTGACAGAAAGTAGGTATAAATGCTATCTGTAATTTTAACAGAGTGTAGGTAAAAATGGTACCTGTTGATTAAAAGAAAGAAGGTATAAAAGGTATCTGTTCGTTTAACATAACGTAGTTATAACTGGTATGTGTTGTTTAACAGAAAATAGGTATTAAATGTATCTGTGGTTTAAGGAAAGTAGGTATAAAGTGTATCTCTGGTTTATAAGAAAGTAGATATAAATGGTATATGTTGTTTAACAGATATTATATACAAATGATATTTATGGTTTAACAGAACGTAGGTGTAAATCGTATCTGTGGTTTAATAGAAAGTCGATATAAATGGTATTTCTTCTTCAACATAAAGTAGGTGTAAATATCTGTGATTTAATGTAAAGTAGGTTAAAATGGAATCTGTTCTTTTAAGAAAACGTATGTATTACTGGTATCTTTAGTTTAACAGAAAGTATGTATAAATGGTATCTGTGGTTTAACAGAAAGTAGGTATAAATGTCATCTCCTGTTTAACAGAACCTAGGTGTAAATGGTATTTGTGGTTTTTACGGATAATAGGTATAAATAGTATCTGTAGTTTAACAGAATGTAGGTATAAATTGTATATGTTGTTTTTACAGAAAGTAGGCATAAATGGTATTTGTGGTTTAACATAATGTAGGTATAAATGGTATCTGTTGTTTTTACAGAAAGTAGACCTAAATGGTATCTGTTGTTTAATAGAAATTATATATGGATGGTATCTGTATTTTTATAGAAAGTGGGTATAATGGACATCTGTGGTTTATCAGAAAGTAGGTATAAATGGTGTCTGTTCTTTAACATAACGTAGGAATAAATTGTTTCTGTGGTTTAACAGAACGTAGGTGTAAATTGTATCTGTGTTTTAATAGAAAGTAGGTATAAATGGTATCCTTTGTTTAACAGAAAGTACTTATACATGATATTTGTAGTTTAACCGAAAGTAGGTAAAATGGGTATCTGTGATTTAACCGAAAGTAGATATAAATGGTATCTGTTATTTAACAGAAAGTAGGTATTAATTGTATCTCTTGTTTGAAGGATAATAGGTATAAAGTGTATCTGTGGTTTAACATAAAGTAGGTATAAATGATATATGTTGTTTAAAGAAAAGTAGGTATAAAGTGTATCTGGGGTTTAACAGAAAGTACTTATAAATGGTATCTATCGTATAACAGAAAGTAGGTATAAATGATATATGTTGTTTAAAGAAAAGTAGGTATAAAGTGTATCTGGGGTTTAACAGAAAGTACTTATAAATGGT